CAGCCAGTAATTCAAGGGCAACAGAGCAATCGGCGAGTCTCGCTTCTTGGTAGTCAACCCTACCGAGCTGATAGCGATGAGCACAGGCTTCGCACCAAGTGCTCGGGATGCCGCGAGTATGGTTCTAACGGCGTCCTGGCAGATAGTCGGGTTGTCGAGCTTCGGTCTGAGCGGGTTCGTGAAAATGGGCTTACCGCCGACGCCGGAGATGATCATATCGACGGGTCGTCCATTGTACATGAGTGTCTGTTGCACTGCGTCGAGGTCCGTGACGCTACCTTTCACGATGTAGAGCTTGTCTGCGGTGACTGATTCGGAAATGCCCCGTTGGCGCAGTAGATTCTGGAGCTTGGCCGGATCACGAGCCACTTGATATCATTAGCATCAAAGTTGAACGCTAAAGTGTACCTTAAACAGAAAAGGGACATAGTAGGTAGATGGAAAGACATAAACCGAATACATACAAGCAGAACAACAAATGCCAGCCTCCAAAGCTTGAACTAAACAGGCCAAAGTACATCCGCCAGTGGCACCAAAGAAAGCAACAGTATGAAGATTGCCCGCAGCCATGATGATGATGATGATGATGATGATGATGATGATGATGAATAGGACCACTAAAGATGCGAATGAGAGAATTAATTGGAATACTTGAAATTGTGATTGTGAGTAATGAATTGAAATTGACATCCCCGGATTCAAGCCATCTTTTATATTCGTGTGTGTTGGGAGTCTATCCTGTGTCGGGCGGGAGTAAATCTCCGTCTTCAGACGGAGACTTTTGTATACCAGGGGGCTGTGTTGGCTTATACCTCCGTTTCTAGGCGGCCTTTTTTCCTGTGCAAGAATACTCATAGGTGTGCATGATTTTCCATGAGATAAAATTTTTGTTTCTATTTTTATTGCTATTATTATTTTTTTATGGGGTATCTAGCTTGGGGCATCGCGATGGATTGCAGGCATCTACTGTTGACGGGGCCACTGATTACTGGCGGGGATTGATATACGGCCTACTTCGTACCAATCTCAAAACTGAACATATCTTCGTAATATTCGCTGGTGATTGTATCAAATGAAGGCGAAGAAAGAAAAAAGAGGGGGAGTTGTAGTCGACAAAAGATGTGTGTGACTTGGGGTATCCCATAGGCTTTGTTATGTGGGAATAGGAAATCGCTAGACACAGGAAAGAAAGCATGAAAAACGTACAAAGGGAAGCAAATTTGAAAAAGAGGGAGCCTCGTGGGGCAATATAGTAAACAATGGAACAGAGCCAGAAGATAAAAACAGACCTCCGTGGTCTAAAGACAAAAATTCTAGGTCATCCATATGTAGTTCTGCGCGGTCGCGCATTGTGCGCTACAGAGACCAGACAAATATACAGTGTGAATAACCTGGGCACCAGAGAATAATTGAAATACTATGGCCGAACCAAAGTCATGTGTCCAGCACATTGTTAGCTCCTGGCCAACATAGAACTTTCGTAATGACTAGGCGTCTAGGCGAGAAACGTCTGCAAAGGCCTAGAGATCATTGGCTTATAGACTTCCGCATCTTTCGGCCAACCCAGTCGGCTAGCATCGAATCCAACTGGCTGTTCATTTCCTTCAGTCGCTTGCTCTCTTCCTTGAACAAGCTGCCAGTGATTGGGTGATCAGGCCCAGCAGGGGGAACGTTGGAGTTATCATGAACGATGATGAACAGATCACGGATGTCGCTTTCATCGTCTAGATAGGATCGCAGGCTAGCATCGCTCCATGTAGGTGTATCGACCGACCCTACGTCGAACGACGTCCTATCTGCATCGAGATTCCTGCTACCGTTGCTCTCGACAGCTGGAGATAAAGGTGGGGATACCGGGGAGACGGAGAAGCCTCTAGGCGATGACGGATCCATCGTCATCCCCGGTGCACCTGGCGAAGATGGGCCTTCCACCGGGGAGATATCCACTGGAGAAACTTCCGCCGGTGAGATTCCACGGAGGCCTCGGTATCCCACATCCTGCCTTGGAGGGAATTTCTGCGGTGGAGAGGCAACAGAGTGTTGCGAATAGTGAGGCTCGGTAGGAGATGCTACCGTGTCTCCCGAATTTGGTTGGGCAGTATTGAGTTTCTTCAGCGGGCTTGAGGTCCGAATGGGAGAGGACAAAGGTTGATCTTGCTGAAGATTGGTCGAGACAGGGGACTGTGGAATATCGTCCTCAGACGCTACTTGTCGTATCGTTTGTTCGTTCCTCTGGCTCTGCACAACGTTCACATCGTCATTGGCCTCCACTGATTTCTGTGTCACTCGTTCCTGCTCCACGCCATTCCTCGAAGGAGCCTGGACGACCGGAGACTGCTTCTGCAGCTTGCTGGCCTGTTTCTGCACCACGAGAGGGTTAGGGGATTTGGACTCAGGAGACGAAATAGACTCTGACGATGTCTTAGGTTGTGGCGAAGATCGAGACAATTCACCCGAAGTCTTTTCTGTCTCATCAGTCTCTTCTTCGGCTGCCTTAGTCTTTTTGTCCTTTCTCTTGAACAAGCCACTGAGCATCCCTGGTTTCTTCTCTTTGCGCTTTTTGTCGTCCTTGTTCTTATCATATGCACTAAGAGCTTTCTCGACAGCCTCCATGCTCCCACGGGTCTTGCAAGATGATATATTGTCAGCACGTTTCCAATTGAAAGACTTATGGAAGTGTATCCTACCTCTCTTGCGTCATTGACCACGCTGCTACTGCCAACCTCGTCGCGGAGGAGGTTTGGTGTAAGAGAGATTTTCTTCGTCTCAACGGTGTCATCCTTGAAGAATGAATCTGTGTTCCGCACAGTCCCATTTCTTGATCGGCTGACAGCAGTTTCTGCTATATAATTTCAGCAATTAATCATACGTCTCGTTCTGCATAACTCGGAGGAAAATTATACCTTCAGACTCCAACAACTCCACACTAGATCGTTGTATCTCGGGGCTGGCCCGATCAGATTCTTTCGCTTCGTGTACTGTTTCCAAATCCTCGCTTGCCTTGTCTCTTTGCGACTTCGGTCTGAGAGGCTCGACAACAATGTCCTCATGTTCACTCTCTTGCAAGTCGTCAACATCCCCTCGCAATCCATCCGCGTCGGTCAAAGAAGCAACATCGTCCAGTTCGTCATCCGTGGAAAACTCTATGTCAGATGCTTCTATGTATGTTGGACTCGTAAACGTTACGGTCTTCGCGTTCCTACGGCGCATTGCTTTCTTCAGTGGATTCTTAGACTTTTCCGAGTTGTCTCCTAGCATAGTCGCGGAAAGCTGCTTTTGTTAGAGGACGTCATTTAACACTAGAAAAGAACCACATACATCGACGTTTCTGTGTTTGTTTAATCTTGCCAATCTTTCGGTAGGTGTCTCAATGTGCTCGGCAGGCAAATACCCTATCTCCAATCAGCTTCCGTTCATGGTATCTGAAAGCCCAGCTTACCAATACTGCCGTCTTTGACGATTCGAACAAGCCACCAGTAGCTGTTACTGTCATCCAGAAGGACCATAGTGTCACCCTTTGCCGCATTGGCTTGTCCATCAACAGTTGCAACGAAGTTATGAAGCGCATAAACAAATTCGAAGTCGATATCCTCTACTCAATGTCAGATAGAACTTTGAAAACTTTGGTGAGAAAACCAAAGAATCGGGCCGTCTTCGAATTTATGGGGTTTCATTAAGAGACATAACGCACCGTCGTCGATAGATGGGGAGCTCGAGATTTTATCCATTAGATCATCATCCAACAAATCATCGTCACCTTCTCCGTCTGCTAGGTCACCATCTTCTGAGCCTCCAACGTGCTGACTATGCCCTAAGTCGTCGTCCAAATCATCATCGTCATCGTATATATCGATACCGTCGCGATATTCATCTAGATGATTTTCTTCGGTCACGGGCCCATGCATCACTTCTGTTCTTGTGTCTTGATCGGCGTGTCGAATGGACTGCTCCTGGTGGGGACCAAAACTGCTGCCTACGCCCATGTTCTGTTTTGAGTGATCTTTAGCCGAGGGTGCATGCTGGTCTTGAAGATCAAGCGTGTCTGACACCGGGCAATTAGCCTCGAACGTTGACGAAGTCGGGTATCAATGGCTTGTATCGCTACGTACCAGCGCGAACAATTCGGGGGCGCGTCATATTGTGTGAATCTCCACTATCGACTTAAGGATGAGAGTGAAGTAGCGCGGAGAACTGAAGTAATGAGCGACTCATTTAAGTCGTAAATATTGGAGTCAAATGAAACGGGAGGAAGTAGCTTGACGCTCTCCGAGGTCCAGATAAAGAATGGAAGGTCGCAAAGGCCTAGTGCGTGCGTCAAATGAGGGAATATGGCGGAGATTTAGGCGCGAGGGACGGATATTAAAGATTCGCAGGGCCGCACACAACGATGGCGGGGGATTGTTTGACAACTGTACAGCACTTAGGCGCACCGGGGTTGGTCGAAGGTCGGGCAACAAGGCGCAAAATAATAAAAAGAGGAGAAAGAAGGAAAAGAATATACTCTCAGAGCAGTATTGAATTTCACAACAAACACAACAATAAACAAGGCTGCAGAAGGGCCACAAAACGTACAGCAGCCGAAACCGTGCTAATGACAAGAACGAGTTCCCCGGACTTTTCAAGACAACCACAAAAAGGAGGTTCTCCAGTGGTAATTCCCCCCCCCCCCCAAAAACAAGCGCCCCTTGCGCGCGCTTAATCAAACCATTCCCAAAGCGGCCTCGTGCCTGAACCAACGAAAGTGAAAGGAGCCAAAATTCCAAGGTCTAAACTGTTTAGCGTCCCGATTGGCTGGGGCTTCACCGGTGAACGGCTTAGGGCTTTAATTCGAGGGTTCCCAGTGGGTCAGGTGATACATTAAAGGCTAGGGCCGAAAGGAGACTAGGGCCGGCCCACGGGACTCCGCTGGGCGCTCTGTTAATGGTTGGTAAGTGGTCAATGATGATTGCATTTTACATGATCTTCGTTTCCCCGCTGCTGACTTTCCGATCCTGCAATGACATCGCCTTCCGTTATCTCCCGATATGCCCATTCTTGCCCATTTTCGTCCCAGTCTGACGATTTTTCTTTCTTCTTCTCACTCACATCAGTCTGGGTGGTTGCTACCTGACGTCGTATACCATTTATATTACTAAGAGAACCACTTGGGCGTGCTGTTTCAAAACCATTTAACCTTTATTTTGTTCCCATTACCCCACCGGAACTGTCTAAACGGGCCGCTTCTTATACATCTTTTCAACGTTGATTCCTCTCGATGTTGCACCACTGCACCTATCAACTGGGAGGACTGTGAATTTCTTCTTCCTTTTCTTATTCTCTTTTGACCTTTTAATATCGCCGATTAAGAGGACCTCGTGCTCTCTGTGAGGGCATGGCTCATACAGAGAGGAACAGTGCGTTGGCAGGGTTGAAGATCGACACTTCTTTCCCTCTTACACACAGACCTAGATGGCGAAGTGAGGCAGGAGGCAGGAGAGTGACGGATGATGGAACTGGTATCGAGGGCGACCGTACAAACATCTTTCACGAATCTGGCGCACGCCGTTACGGTACTGATGAAGACAACAGTGTTTTGAGCAGTCTGCATTCAGCGACTCCCCCTATCTCGGTACCCCGACATGATGATCATCCTAAGGAAGATGTTAGCTTCCCGGAAAGACCTGAGGATGTACAATCATCTCCGCTTGACAGCTTCCTTCACAGCCGCCGCCGTTCCGTCAGCTTCGACCCGAACATCACCCTCGACTCCGGACAGCCCCAGGCGTTGGGAGAGCCGTTGGCAAAAGGAGTTATAAGGACCAGACCCCAGAGGTTCCAGGCAAAAGGCTCGAGCTTGAAAAACACGCTACCCCAGGATGAGGACGACGATCACTATCCGAGACACGGATACAGGGCTCAGCGGGGCTTCGACTCTCATGAAGGCTTTCTGAGTAGTCCTGATGATGACATGCGCGTGAATTCGGCAATTGATCGTCCCACGTCGTTGACATCGATCTCCACGGCTTCCCCCATCACAGAAGAACTGCGTACCCCTCCTGAAGGATCCAAAGGCGCCCTGCCGTCACCTTTCTGCGTAGCATCTCCTGTGCAAGGATTTGCTTCACTTGATGACCGCAGCTCCTGGTCTAGTAGTGTCATAACCCCTTTTGGAAGCAAAACAAGAGGGTTTCGAGGCTCCACTCGCCAGAGCTCCCGCCGATCAACAGCTTCGAGCGGCAAATCTCCCGCCAGCATGTTCCTTTCAATGTGGAGCAGTGGCGAAGAGCCTGCGCCACAGCCTGATGATGAAGGCCAAATGGTCGGGACTGAGTATGTTCTGGGAAAACAGATTGGATTTGGGGGGTTCAGTACGGTAAAGGAGGCGTACAAAGCAGACGAAACTGGTGGAACCAAACGGTTGGCTGTTAAGATCGTGCGGAAGCAAGTCTCAGGGAAGAATGAGAAGGAGAACGATGAGGTTCAAGCAGAATTCGATCATGAAGTTCGAGTCTGGCGATATCTCAGCCATCCAAATGTTCTCACGCTTGACGCTGTCTACGAAACTGACTACGCGACATTCTGCTTTACTAAATTAGCCATTGGCGGTACCCTTTTCGATCTTATCCGGCAAAACCGGCGCGGTCTTGACATGAAGCTTGCAAAGAAATATACGTATCAGTTAGCGTGTGCACTGCGATACCTGCATGAAGACGCCCGAGTGGTGCACCGAGATATTAAATTGGAGAACTGCCTTCTGGACCCGATTGAGCTTCCAGACGGAACGAAAGCATCGAACCTTGTCTTGTGTGACTTCGGAATGGCAGAATGGATGAACATAGATAACGGGGGTGACTCTCCCGACCCATACGACGACGCTGCGGATCGGCCGCCGCCTAAAACGATCGGCCCTGCTGGATCAAGTACTAGTGTTGCAGGAAGCCTGGAATATGCATCTCCAGAACTGCTTCTTTCCACCAGTGGTGTCATTGAACCGTCGGTTGACATATGGGCATTTGGCGTGATCGCTTACACTGTGCTCGTTGGGTCTCGCCCCTTCCAAGATCCGTTCACGCCCCGCGTTCAGTCGCATATTCTTAGCGGGAACTGGGACAGGACGGCAGTTTTAGGTGATGAAACAGATCCGCTGGCTCGCAGAGACCGGGAGCACGCCCTTGAGTTGATCGAGGGTTGTTTGAATATGAGCGTTGAAAAACGTTGGACCATCCGTGATGTACTCTCATCCCGTTGGCTGCGGGAACTATCTGAAAAGGGCGAAGATGGTGAAGCCGACACCATCTGGAAGCTGTGAAGCTTTTTCTTTTTTCTTTTTTTTTCATTTCTTTTTTTATCCATTCCGTATTGCTCTCTAACCCGGCTTGGGTGGGGTGGCTTGAAATATGGGATATGATGCTTTGCATTTCGACTTACGATATACTGATGATCAAAACTGGCGCTATTATGATATGAACAAGCGCTGGTGTTCGGGATTAGTGATCATCTATGATACCCTCTCTTTTTGTGTTTTTGTTGCTTGCGACTTTATTATATGTTCACATTTCGGTATATGGAGGAGGCTCCTGCATACATCATTCTGTTCGCTCTTGGGGGTCTCACATGATGGGTTTGATTGTTCTGGTCGGTTACTACTTTTCATGCAATGGTTGGTCATGGTATCTTTGAAGGATAGGTTCTTGGTTTCACAAGCATGGCGTTTGGCTGGTCTCATTTACTGCACCGTTATATTCTCCTTTCCTGTAACTATATAGCTGGTAGCTGTGCTGTACTGTGCAGTTAGTGGAATTCTAGTTATAATAGCATTCGCCTTCTAGAAGGAGGTTTGAAAAGAAAAAGAAATTCTTAAACTGGGTTGAGAAAAGCTATCACATCGTGCACACCGGTAAAGTCAACCTTGAATAGGCATATTCTAAAACCACCCACATCGCAAAAGACTTGGACTCCCCGTTCTAATAAATGAAATATCACTCCGTGACTCCGACAAGACTTCAACATCAATAAGGCAGCCAATCATAACAAAAATATGCAATATAAATATTTAGGCTCAAATAGTGAGTATCATCTAGCAGATCCAGAATAGTATAAACTCTCACAGCCAGTCATCCATCATCGACCCCGAATACTATTATAGAGTAAAGTAAGCTTATAACTCTCAAAGCTACACTAGATCTGCTACCCGACGAAGATACACACACCCTTACTGCAGGTGAGCTGGTAGCCAAGCAAGTACCATGACCAGTAGAGAGGAACGAACGATGATTAATTGTTTGGTGACTTGGAGAGGGGGACTGCTGTTCAACTGCCGACGCCGGATGAAACCAAGTGTGTTAGTCTGGGGGTGGTGAGAAAGGGTCACTATGAGATATCAGGCAGGGAAAAAGTAGGCCATTTCAAGGGGATGGTAGCATTATGGGTTGGGGTCGTCTGGTATATATGGACAATGGGATGTACTCGTTACTTTTTATTTTGACTATGATATGTTCCGGTTTAAGTTGAATGTGTGAATAGTTTTGTTGAGATATCAGTTGTGCCATACTTGCCCTTGTACTTCATGCTCTCCGTCCAAGGCATTTCAGGACTCTCCAGGAAACCTTCACGGATCTCGATCTTACCATTAGCGCCTTCAATGGTCACATGTGCGAGCTGACATGTTTGTCTACTAGCTTGTGGCCACTGTCCACAGCCACCATCCCTCCATGTGGAATAGTTGTTTCGGCCGCGCAATCTTGGTGGTCCCTTCAAGAGAACCACTAGGCATACAAGTACAGTAAGACAACTTGTAAGACAGCACCAACTGGAACACCACAGTAGGGTCAAACGGAAGCAGCGACACCCAGGGTATGCATCGAAGAGAATGATAGCGAGAATAAACCCAGAAACATCCCACAGCAGGCAGAGACACTACGTTAGACCTGAGTACACTGCGAGTTGCTACACCAATGCAAAAGAGGGAAGCAGAGAAATCAAAATAGATCCAACCTATCCACGTATCTAGAGTGCATATTTATACAAGTAGCTGTCAAAACAAAAAGGGAACATCGATGGAAAAAATACATAGTGCAGAGATAATGTATCACGCGGTCATCGTCCCCAGGATGATAGAGGGGCACGCAAATCTCTCCGCCGGAAAATGTTTGTTGACCATTCCCCAAATACATTGCTAGTGAAACTGTTCATAAGCACCAGATTACCAAAGTCTGTTCTCGGGCAAGACCTTCTCCTTCTTAACACCAGCAGCAGTCTTCCTCTCAACCGGCGAGCGGAAGAACAAACTGGGTCCCTCCATAGGCTTCAACAAATGGCTCAAATAACCCCTGTGAGCAGGATCACGGTAGTACTCGATGTCTTTTCTCTTCGTCGGATCGGGCAGCCTATACTGGAAGCCCATCTCCTTCATAATGGTAGACTCGGTCAGGTTTTCTGCTCCCTCGGCGTTGTTCAACCCCTCGCTGCCACTCTCATCTGTCCATGCCGTAGACACAAATGGGTGCATCTCACGGCGCATGATACGTGCGATTGCTGATTTAGTGTAGAATCTGGTAGTAACGGATCCGCCCGCAGCCTCAACAGCAGCAATGGCGGTTGCCGAGGCGCGAGAAACGACGATGTGGATGGGTTGCTTGAGGGTGGATTCAGCGCCTCGACCGAGAAGCTTTACGCCTTCTTTTGTTTGGTGGATGCAGCGCGATTGGGCCAGTTCGCGAATGGTGATGGGCCGAGTAGGGTCGATGCGGCCTTGGTCGATCCATTCTTGGATGCGGTCGAGGTTGACTGGGGCGAGGTCAAGAGAGAAGCTGTGTTGGCCGGAGTCAGTAAACTTCATGATGCCTTCCACATCTGCAGTCCCAGTAATGGCGGCAGCATGTTAAGCCGCGAGAGCAAGAATACAGAAAATAAAGAAACTTACACATTTGTGAACCCCCTCTCGCCATGAACAATAATTTCCGGCGTTTGACCACCGTTGAACCTAGCTGGAACCTTTCCATGCTGCTTCTGACCCTTATGACCTCTGCCGGAGGTTTTACCCTTCCCTGACGCCGGACCGCGACCTCTCCTGATCCGCTTGTTATAGGCACCCGGGGTATCGGAAAGGGAAGCTAGAATGTGAGCATTGCGGCTTTGTTGCTGAAGCTGAGGGAAAAGAAGGGAAAGGGACGAAATGGCGGAAAGAGGTTTCGAAAGTGGGCGCTGCCACTGGGTAGGCAATATTTGAAGCCTGGGTGGCATGGTGATTTGCAATGTTTAGTCGTCGTTGAAGGGATATCAACGGGTTTCGGCGTGAGTGAGATACAGGCCAAAGATCTTTCGGAGGCTCGCCTGAGGCCCGTTTCCGGAGATACGTCGGACCGGCGAGGACGAGGACCTTTTGTATTGTAGGTCCAAAATTCCTCTTCCTGTCTTAATTTTTAACATTTTATAACTTCTGTACTTTACTGAAGACATATCTCCTTATGTGATTTTCCAGTGAGTTTGTACCGAGAATTCTTGTTCCAGGGGCCCTACCTAGTACTATCCATAAGTATCTATTCACGGCAGCCACAAGATTCCTTTTTCTGCCATTGGTCAATTGCTCTATACTTGCTGCACTCATTATATGGCAGAATTATTTACTTAGAAGGCGGTGGATAAGCTGAACGGGGCTGTTTGTTACAAAGCCAGATTTATATGGATTGAGATAGTTTTCATACATTTATATCCCTTCCAGACCAATATCAGCCTGTTTAGGTACTTCTTTAATAGTGTCACTTGTGAACTCCTAAACATGCCAATGCAAGCAGATGTTCAACATGGGTGTATGAACGGAGACAGCAATCAACGCCATTGCCATGCTTCGTCCAAATAACAAAAAGAAAAAAGGTCGCCCCTCCCTGATCGTCAGTGATCCCATTGGCTCTTAAATGCAACAGCCGTCTATAATATTGAACGCCATAATAATGCAAGGTCGTTAGAATAACAAGGAAAAGAGAAATGTAAGCTGTACAAGATACAGGATTGAAGGGGGAAAAGAAAAAGAACAAAATAGTAGTATCAAGGCTAAAACACCTCTTTCGTACGGGGTCGTGATTCAATCGTAACATGAAGAGAAGATGTCAATGAGCTTTAATAGTGCGGAGTTGAATGGAAGGTGGGTTGAAGAAAAGGTGCCTGCGGCCAAGCCTCGTGGTGAAGGTAGGGCAACAGGCCTGTCTTGCGCTCAGCTGCGGTTTTACCGAGAGGCTGATAATGCATATGCTCGAAAGGAACAGCGCGTTGTTGTTGAAGTGAGGACGAGGGTGGAGGAATCAACAAGGTGTTGAAATTGCGAACAGGTCGGTAAGGTGAGTTGCGGTTTGCAAGGAAGAAGGAAGGCGACAAGTTAGTCTGAGGTGTGTGGCTCGAGTATGCAGAGATGGCGGGTGAGATAGTGGCCGAGGTGACGCCAAACGGACTATTATGCTGCCTTGCAGGGTCTGGGAGTGACACCGAAGGATTGTACAATCCATTCGTAATGGGAGGAACCTGAGTTGGTGGCAGCTGAGGGACCCAACTGGTGGAAGGATTGTAGACCGAATGCATTGCGCGATTAGCCACGGAGGGAAAGGGAAGCACAGAGGTTGGAATGCCCGGAGCTAGGGCATTAGAAGATGGTGGGAAGTTCGGACGTGGCAATCGTGACATCGATCCAGATAAGCTGTTCGCCGGCGGAGCGGATGTCGCTGCCAAGACTGGAGGCAAAGTAGGGACACCGGTCAAAGCAGCCGATGGAAGCGTCGACATCGATGTAGGTAAAGTAGTTGACATTGCCGCTCGTTTTGATGGCTGGTCCTCGACGTAGTCGTCTAGGGTCCGCTTCTTAGAAGGCATCGGCGGGAATTCCTTGGCCAAGTGTGGAGGTGGTGCGTAGGCTGGCGCGTTTGATGGTAAGCTCCAGTTCTGAGCACGAAGAACATCCGAATTGGGAGGAGAGGGCAGTCTTTGCGAGGACGACACTTGAGAAGCTCCTAGATTTGGCGAGATACGAGGTGCTGGAGTTGATGACTCTAGTTCCTTCGATTCTGGCGACAAAGATGCCTTGTTGAAAAAGTCGGCAAAAAGACTGAGTTTCGAATGCCACTGCGTCCACCCTTCCTCCGAAACGAAGAGATTGTACCGCACATTGCTGAGAAACTCCACCTCCATAACATGTATCTCCTGTACAGAAATTCCAGAAACCTCGGCCCACGTTTTATTTGTGTAGGTGTTATCATCGAGGACTAGACGCTGGTTAGCACCTTTCGAATACTAGCATTTAAGATGTTCAAACCAACATTTATTTCCTAGCATAAGAGCAATTGTCATCAACCTATATTCGCTACCCTTCTTTCCTCGAACTCGATGATTGAATTTCTTCAACCGGTATATGAAGAGAAGTGCTAATAGAATGACATTCTGGCTCACTTGCGTAGTCGAAAGGATGTTTGTCACCCATTTTAGAAAACCAGCGGACGGAATCGCTTCTGGAACGATGGAAAGAAGAGGATTCTTCCTTTCTTCAATATCATTCAACTTGGCCGTAGTTTCAAACCAGAACAAGCATGTCATCTGCCTGGGTCAGCATACATAGCTTATCAGAGTAAAAAAAAAATGAGCTCTTACCTGAGCAGCAAAGTCGGCCAGATTGCCCTTGCTATTGTTGATAGATGACGGTATCTGCAAATAAGAAGCAACCGACTTAGAACCTCCTCTCCTCTGGCTAGCTGGTTCAGAAGACGGGGCGTCTTGAAGAGAGGGTTGACTCGGCGGCTTCGACTGCGGTACAGAGGCAGTAGAGTGATGGTAGTCCGATGCCATGCGCGTATAATTCGGTGCTTTGGCGTAGGGGGGAAGTGTAACTCCACCAAATTTACCGCCATAGCCGGAAGGGGGAATGCTGTTGTACGCAACGCCGGCCATATCGTTCGGGGGAGTAGGGAGACCGTCCCTGAACGGTGCGGTCCAGTGGTGATCAGGGTCCTCCAAAACTGTTTCGAGATGTCGTTTTTTTGCACAAGTCGAATCTTCCGTCCGGGAATAGAGAGGTATGGTGGGGGTGAACGGATGTGGGACAGAGGAATACGACTGTGTTGAGAAGACTGGAAGAGACATAAGGAGGTTGGCAGGTTGAGAATAGAAGAGTGAGATTGTTGAGGTAATACTGCTGAACACAGCTTATCATGGAACTCCCATTGGCATCAACGGCGGATTAATGAACGTATCAATTCAATATCGCTGACACTGATAGTCGCTCACTTCCAAGTGGCGAGACCGTCTGGGGAAATATATGGTGTTGGCGGTGGTAGACCAAAAGGGAATTGCACGGAATTATTTGGAGGGAGTTGCTGAACACTAAAGTGGAGGATGGATCCAGCTTTTGTTCATATCAAAAAATGCCGTGAAGGTCTCAAGAGGATAGCAACAGTAGCGGGCCCAGTGAATGTAGATCGTGCCTTGGTCGGTGGAATGAAGGCACTGAAGGGGGTGGAAGATTAATTGAAAGAAGGCCAGACCAAGTTTAAGTAAATATCAATGTAGTATTTGATCACAGTGTTGTGAATTGGTATAGATTGGAAGGTGAGAACGGAGATGTACTTGAATCTTTTAGAAGTTGCAAGTACATCCAGTTATAGAAAAATCCATATATCCAGTAGCAAAATAAGAAAATCTAATATAAAAGGAAAGTCCAAAGAATCAAAAAGCCAAATAAAAAAAAATTAAAAAGCCCCAGACCCTCTCTGGAATCAAACCATATAGGAAAAAAAAATTAAAATAAAAAAGGTGAATTTAAATTGAATTAAGGCGAAAAAGAAACACTAAATTAAAAAAAAAAAAAAAAAAGGAAGAAAAAAAAAAAAAAAAAAAAAAAAAAAAAAAAAAAAAAAAAAAAAAAAAAAAAAAAAAAAAAAAAAAAAAAAAAAAAAAAAAAAGAAAAAGAAAAAGAAAAAAAGGTAGTAATAATGAAGGATGAAGTCAAGACATCATCCTCATCCAGCAAATAATAACTAAACCTCATACATCTCCGCTTGATGAGCCAGGGTAGGTCTTTAGTCCATGTCCGGAGAAAGTGCAATGACCATACAGGATAGACAAAGTTTGACCCGGACGCAGGTCCAGAGGGCTGATCCTCCTTTCTGGACTCGTTTGGGTCGGTTCCGGTTTGGTCATCCAGGTTTGATTGTCTCTGCTTTGTCTTGAAGAGAATTGAAATACCGGTTGATGTCAGAGCCACGGGGAGGGGGGTTAAAGCAAGTGGATGCATGCTACGGAATAGTGGAAGGCTCACTAAACTGAACAGGGTCAGTCAGCAGCCCCCCAGTTCAGGTCTAGTGGGAAAACCTTTCACTCACTAGTTAAGGTCAAGTCTACTGGTCACCGTCCTAACCGAAAAGGGAAAGGAAAAGGGAGATGGAAGGGAGGGAGAGAGGGGGTGGAAATTCGGACATGACCTCGTCGTGGTGATGAGCGAACATCATCATCTACGGACTTTCAATTGACTTAACTGCCTCCGTCCAAGAAAGGACCCATATCAGATCCAATAATAAGTCGGGCTTAGCGTCGCATTGCAACCGTCGCCGTGGTCGCCGCGTCGTGTGCCGCCTTCCTTCTCAGCTCTAGGCTTCTCTTTTTCCCTTTTTTTAATTCCTTACCTCTTTTTGTACACAACAACGGTGAAAAAAACAAAAAATTAAAAATTAAAAACTAGAGCTGATGAGAAAATAATCAATGAAAAAAAAAGAAAAGAAAAAAGAAAATCGGTTCGAGGGACAAAAGGGATCCATTGCTCAACACCCTCGGGAGGCACGGGAGAAGAGTGGACGAAGGGGGGTTTGTGCACTCACTCTATGTGTGGTTGATCGCCAATTCTAGTTCAACCAAGGCGGAAGGCAAAGGAATGGGAAATTGGGTTGGGTACGGAAGAATATTGGCGAGTTGTGGTATTTTTCGGTGTAATAATCAAATTACAGCGCTCTTACAAGCTGGTACTTGAGTTTGGAAAGAAAACTTCCTAACCACCCACTAGGAATGGGGCAAAGTGAAGGCGGGGAAGATACTGCGCAGGAAATGTGTATGGTCTTGGTAACTAGTTCATAAGATGGTGTGGCCAAACTGGACTGATTACGAGGTTTCCGTAATTAATTGAACTCTGGATAGATTACTATACAGGGTTTAGTGCAATGCAAAAGGGTAAGAAAAAAAATAAAATAAAATCCAAGTCAGTCGGGGTGGTACTTCCATCGACCTAATGAATGACAAGGATACTGGATCGGGTTGTCATGGCGAGGTAAAATATGTACGGGAAGTACGGGCACCATGATTACTGTACTAGCTACCACTTCCCTCTGCGTCAGGCATGGGCCACTAAGCTGAAAGGAGACTAGTTCTCCGGTGGATATGGGAGGTAATATGAGTGAGAATAAATAGGCAGTAACGTATGAAACTTTGGAAAAATTCCTAGCCAACCCGACTTATCCACAGGTTGTGTAAGAATGAGAGGGGACCACTGGGGCATAGGCAACATGTTGCCTTGAGAGTAGTAAACTATGTGTTATGAGTGCGTCCGAGGGATGCGATAAGTACACCAGGACCCAGAAAGGAGGCGTAATGAAATTAAACCAGCCAATCAATGGTCCCACATGGCGGTAGATGATTCCAACAGATGGTAGTCCAATCGCTGCATTCATCTTGCTTGAACTAGCCTTTCCCACATATTTTACTTTCTGAACTATTCTTTTTTTTTTTTTCTCTCTTCCCACTCGTCTTGGGAAATAGGGCTCCTGCTGGGGACAGGCGCAGGCCGCGGGACCACCACCGCCCCAACTCACTCAGCGACCATCAGCCCCTCTCCCTCCCTTGTGACTCCTACTGGTAGTGGTGGCACATACCCTAAGCAAATCCACCATGCGAGTCAATGATGGTTAGGTGATTGAATGCCTCAAACTCCGCCTGCCGACGAATCCGCTTCCAACTCGTCATTTACCCAATCCAACATCTGCTGCTGCGCCTTTCCAGGTTTCTTCTGTTCCTCTGCTCCGTACCGTTCGACTCTGTCCAGTCGTAATGCCCAGTATATGGAGTATAATCCGAACCATGAATAGATGTTTACCCTCCTTCTACACGCTCCAATTCAAACTAATCCGCCACTTGTTATGACACCACTACTCTAAAGTGTTGATCCAGTTTCGAGATGATAGGGCACCAATAGTCAACCGTAGTCAAAAACGAAAACAAAACAAAAGGATAACATAATATTCAAGGACACATGACAGCGAAGACTCATACACGGGGTTTCGTCCTGTCAGCTGCTCGTGTACGTCAATAAAATAGCCATTTTAGGGACTTAGCCCGAAAGAGAAGCTCACTGTCCCATGGTTAATACTACCTTCATTATTGTCACATTGCGCAGCAACTCAGCAGCAGTACGGAGTAAATGGAGCTTTGATCTAAGACAACATTCATCACCACCACCCAAAGTCCCTCGCATGGATAAGGGCGCTAAACAAAATGTGATAACACAGTTGCGTCCCCTCTCCCCCCCCCTCCTCCAAAAAAAAAAAGAAAAAGAAAAAGAAAAAGAAAACACACACACAATGCGAGTTTCAACCCCCTGACTCGTGCTTTGAGACAGAGCAGAAAGTTAAGAGTATGGCAGAAACAAAGTGCTTTTGTAAGTGGTACAGTGTGATGGCATTTTTCTGGTGTTCCAAATGATGGTTGGCATGCAATAGTTTCCCTGTGGCGCCTCTACCCATCACTTTCGGGCTTGTTTCTTTTCTTTGGTTTTTTTTTTTTTTTTTTGTCCCTTGGTTTACCTAAGCATTTCATATTCAAGTTATTGGCAATAATAGTAGTATCCTACAGCGTCTCCATAAAAAGTATATACTCCGGAGTCCATCCTTCACTTACGGAGTATGGAGTAGAACAATAGCTCTACTCGGCAGTTTTACTCGTCCTGATGAGGTAAATACTATAGCCCAGATACTAGAAGGAGCTATTTCCGGCCGTCTTTCCATGCATTTGGTGAACCTGTCGTAGTCATGACGATCATAGTACTCGGGACGCGACGCTGTACATGATGTCGATTGTCAACGAATAACACAGAATAGAGTATCTCAAATCCCGTCTATTTTCCTCTTTCCCTGTTGAACCCCGAAAGTTCGGTCCTAAGAGTGTGGGTAGCTTCAGGATCGTTTTAACTTCGTTGTGGTACCAAATTTTCTTAGGGGATGTGCACCGGTCGGACGACTTTCCTGTGTCTGGACGATGGAGTCCCGTCAAATTCTGTACATTCGAACTGCTACCACTAACTTCAGGGGACAGGCAAACACTGATAGTTCGGGTATGGTATGGCTGCTGACAGTTCCGTACCGACGGAGCAGATCGATGCATTGACGGATACTGTATACATTGATGCGACGTCTCATTCGCCCAAAGAGCGGCAGACCGTGACCTACCTGAATCCCGCCCGCGTTCGAAAAGGACGCAAAGATAAAAATAAAATAAAAAATTAAAGCAAAGGAATATGTAAGCATCGAGTAGGGGGTTATTAAACGCCATGGTCCGAGTACTGAGGATTTGTCCCTACGTATCTTACAAGGTGATAAGTGACAAATGGCCCGGCTCTGTTGCATGTCCACACTGTAGGTGTATTGTTTCGCTTGGAACCTTGTAAGAGACTGGAACCGGACAAGCTGGTCTTGGCCCCTTCATCGAATTATGCGTCCCAACTGATTTCTCTTGAGTCTGAACCCTGCTTGCGGATTTCGCCTATGTGGCTAGCAGAAGTGCAAGATCCTCTGGATTATGGAACGCTCCAGAGTCGGAAGATATCCGTTTTGATTGATCAACGTTCAAACTCGTCTGACTTGCTACGAGCATTTGTCACCGAACAATGATCGTTAGGACTAGTGGATTATTGCCCAGCATACGGTAACATCATTTGAACATTACTGTTATTATGTTCTATCCTTGGAGAGGAACGATACTCCTCGTAATCGGGTGACGAGTGAACCGTAACCCAATGGTCTGACCAACAACCCAAATTGGAAATAAGCAAAGAGGAACCCTAAGATACAGAGGCCTCCATAACATTGATAGACTGATAACGTCTGCTTGGAGCCAACCGTTTGGAGTAGCACTAAGGGGTATGGCGACGGTGTGATTTCAGTTTCTATTGATTTTGCCCTTTTTTCTTTTTATGTTTTTTACATTCGTTCTTTTAGGTTCCTTCTCTAACTTTCTCTCCTTTCGAACCAGTTAGTTTCTTAATCCCGTAACTAACGATCTGGACAGATGATCCGAAGTGCGTCAATGGATTCTTGTCTGTTCTGGCAATTAGTACCCACGATCGCAGCCGATTCTCTCGTCATGGTGTAGTTAGTAGTTGGGAACCATTGGCGTGCAACGAATCAGAAGGTCGACTTCGCATTTCCCCAGTATTTTGGGGCC